TCATGGTCGTCTTCCATAAGCTTTACCGAACTTGCCGAAGCTGTATTGTTCTAAATCCTTTTCTCTGTGTTGTTCAATTTGCTGAAAGAAAGAAGTACGTGGAACAATGGCTTTCTTCCCTGCAGACTAACCGATATCATGCACCAATGAAGAATGGCCATCTGCTGGAAGAACGTGGTCTAGTGTTTATAAGTATTGTACAAAGATATTGTAGATAGTGTTAATTCTTTTAAAAAAGAGAAGAAGACGGAGGGTGGACGAATGGCTTGCTTCATTGATTTGTAGTTGCAAATAGAAGAGAATTGCAATGGTCAATTATTGTTCCTTTTCATTTTGATCATAGATTTTTCGATTTCGTCAATTAGATTATTTAACTATTTAAATTAATTTAATATATTTAATCCTCAAATCCTATGACGAAACGTATCGATGATTAATTAGGTCATGACACGTGTCATGTCATAGTTGAAAGATTTTTAATTTAAATATTTTTTTCTCCAAAATACTGAACTTCTTTTTATTTTAAATCCTACATTAATTATATTTCAAAATACATATGAAATATATTTATTTATAAACCAATAATTAAACTTGCTTCAATGATTTTGATGCTGATATATAAATTAAGATTTGGTTCTTTTTACTATTATTTTTGTTTTCATTATAGTACAAGATAAATAACATCTGTCGTAGGACTTGAACCAAATATAATTGTTGGTGGTGTGGTAGACTTTGAACGGATTTCAGCATGTGTTGTTTGAAACCCTAAAAGAGAGGGCAGTGGGAGGACATCTTATAATAGGAAACCCCAAACTTAGCAAAATTCAACTCCACTTTGAAGACGGTGCCACTTGGACATGTTGTTGCTACTTTTGCAGCTTTGTCGACACATAACACGGCCCCCTTTGCTGCTGAACTTGTCACTTTCTTCTATGGCCATCATCATCGTCACCTTTTTCCATGGGATCTAAACACACCCGCAAATCAAAAGGATGTTGCAGAGAGCTGCGAGCAATGCGTATTCATGGTGGTGGGCTAGCCACACTTGGACAAAACAGTCTAAATGGCTCGAACAAAATCTTCAGGGTAAGCATTTCATTGCCTGGTTGCTTGGTTTTCCTTTCATTTTAGTTCGTTTATGTTGCTCGTACTCTTCATTTTTCTTCGGTGTATGAAAAAAATCGAATACACCTGTTTTAAAGTGACAACATTGATACATGATTATTGCAGATACGGAGGAGAAGGTCTCTGATATGATGGAAATCATTAATTACGAAGGAGAGTCCTTTACGAAGAGGGTAGAGATGTATTACAGCAAGAGATCAGATCTTATAAACCTCATCGAAGAGATTTTCCGGTCGCATCGGTCGTTAGCCGGAAGATTCGATCACTTATCCAAGGAACTGCAAAGTGCCAATAGCACCATTGCCTCCGTGTTCCCTGATCGAGTTCCATATGAGACGTATGACGACGATGATGATAATTTTGATTTTCATCACGACAAACCAGCCATTCCCAAAGCTATATCTCTAAAGAAAGAGTTCAGGAACCAGGCTATGTTCACGCCTAAGAAATCGGTCGGGTTTCGAGCTATGGGACTGAACAAAGACGAGGCATTGAAGGAAATAGATAAGCTTCAGAAGGAGATGTTAGCACTTCAAACTGAAAAGGAGTTCATGAAGAGCTCATACGAGTATGGATACAAAAAGTTCAATGAAATCGAAAACCAGATACTCGAAAAGCAGAAGAGAGTATGCGATTTACAGTACGAGTTCGAAATCGGGTCTGTTATCGATGATAATGAAGGTCTAACTCTAATGGTGAATCAAGCTCTTAAATCATGCCAAGAGTCGTTGGATAAGTTGAAAGAAAAACACGAGCAGTCGACCAAGGAGGTAAGAGCAGAATCCAGAAGGATTAGACATGTAATTAGTAAGTTTAAGTCCCTACAGATGGATCAGCAAGGGAAGCCGAAGCGCGTAAGTTCGATCACGGAGCTCGATAACATGGACTACAATATCGACAATGAAGCTAAAAACAGTGAAGATACGGAAGCATCGGAGCAGCAAGAGAAGCCAAAGCGCATACCTTCAACTACAGAGCTCGATAATATAGTCCACCATGCTGACAAGAGAGACGATATGGAAGCATCAACGAAGGAGCTTGATAACATGGTCTACGAGATCAACAATGAAGAAAACAAGAGCCTGGATATCCAAGCATTGCAAAAGGAGATCAAAGAGAAGCTTCAATTAGGCTCAAATGTATCTCTTACAATGAAACAGCTTGTTAAGAAAATTGAAAACCTTGTGAAAAGAGTTATACGTCTGGAAACTGCAGTCTTATCTGAAAAAGCTCAGATAAAGAGATTGGAATACGAAACGGATGAGATTCAGGAACAAGTTAGGAGCCTGGAAGAAGACAAAGCAGCACTGATCGAAGGTTCGGTTGCCACGAACATGAGGATTAACGAGTTGGAAGTAGAGCTAAGTAGAGTAAAAGATCACGCAAAAACTGTTGTAGAACAAAATAACAGCCTCGAAGCTAATTTCATTGAAGCAATTTGTAATGTTAATCATTTAACATTGAAGTTACACGAGGTTGAAGCCACTGGATTCTCCTCCGAAGGTGTAATATTTGGACCCGATGCCAAAGCCTATGAGGGAACTGAAGAACTCGAGCTCGTTCATTCATCATTAAAAGACATAGGAATTGGATTGAAAAGGAAGGACAAAGATGTTTCAGCTGACGGAGAAAACATTGTTGATTCTGATTCAAGCTACAAGCTTGATGGTGATCCCGAAAAGGGTCCGGAACCAGTGGGAGAAAACAAAACTGATCAGAAATCTTTGTCCGTTGATTCTGATTCAATCTACAAGCTTGATGGTGATTCCGAAAAGGGTCTAGAACCAGTGGCAGAAAACAAAGCTGATAAGAAATATTCGTCTGTTGCTTCTGATTCAAGCTTCAAGCTTCAAGCTTCAAGCTTGATGGTGATTCCGAAAAGGATCTGGAAACGGTGACAGAAAACAAAGCTGATAAGAAACATTTGTCCGTTGATTCTGATTCAAGCTATAAGCTTGATGTTCATTCCGAAAAGGGTCCAGAACCAGTGGGAGAAAAACAAAGCTGATATGGAACATTTGTCTGTTGCTTCTGATTCAAGCTACAAGGATTCTGAAAAGGTTCCGGAACAGGTGGGAGAAAACAAGGCTTATAAGAAATATTTGTCCGGTGCTTCTGATTCAAGCTAGAAGCCTAACGGTGATACCGAAAAGAGTCCGAAACCGATGGGAGAAATTCATTCTGATTCAAGCTACAAGCTTGACATTGATTCCGAACAGGGTCCAGAAACGGTGGGAGAAAACAAAGCTGATAAGAAACATTTGTCCGTTGCTTCTGATTCAAGCCACAAGCTTGATGTTGATTCAGGAAAGGGTCCGGAACCGGTGGGAGAAAACAAAGATGATAAGAAATCTTTGTCCGAGACAGCAAGCAGCATCCCCAATGCAGAGGTCGACCAGCCCGAAACCGATGAAGAAGAGGAACTTAACTGGAGGCAACTATACTTGAGTAGACTGGATGATCGAGAAAAGATTTTACTAGACGAGTACTCACATGTTCTTAAGAATTATAGGAAGGTGAAAAAGAAGCTTAATGAAGTAGATAAGAAAAACCGCGACGCTTTCTTTCACTTGGCATCGCAGATAAAGGAACTGAAGAATGAGGTGGCCTTAAGAGATCAAGTGATTCAATCATTCCGTCAAAAATTTATTTCATTAGTAGAAAATAAGGATAAGAACTTGGTAGAAGACGAAGCAATTCGACGAAGTACAAGCCAGGAATCCGGCTTAACCGAAGCCATTCAGCCATCGCCAATAGATGAGGAGAAAGCCGGACAAACTACACGGGGAGGATTCAAAGAATCTGCAGAGAATATGGGAGTACATGTTATGCAGGTAAAACCCGAAAGTCGACCCCATGATGTTTTAACTGTAGAAGATGAAATACGATCGGGTATCGATGACTTGCTGGAGGAAAATCTTGAGTTCTGGTTGAGGTTCAGCACATCAGTTCATCAGATAAAGAAGTATCAAACTTCAGTAAAGGACTTGAAAGCGGAGTTATCAAAATTGAGAAAGAATGAAGGTGGTGGCAAGCAGCAATCAATGAAATCAGCAGCACGCCCCATTTATTATCACATGAGAGAGATAAAAACTGAATTAACATTGTGGTTGGAGAACAATGAGGTGTTGAAAGACTAAGTTCAAGATCGACATTCAACGTTGTGCAACTTCCAAGACGAGATAACAAGGGTGACCAATGCAAGCGACCACAGTGGAGAAACTGGGATCAGTGTATAAGAGGCTGCCAAGTTTCAAGGCGAGGTTCTCAACATGAAACAGGAAATCAAAAGGGTTAGCGAACAGCTGATATTGGGCTTCACTCATGCCCGACACTCAAGGAGGAAATCGAGAGAATCATGGCGGATTTGGACAAAGAACTTTGGTCGTCGCCGTCGATGAATTCACTATCCCATTCAAGATCATGGCGGCCCCGAATTCCTCTGCAATCTTTCTTGTTTGGACTCAAATTCAGGAGCAAGAAGAAAAAGAAAACATTGATGAAACAGCCCAGTTACATAATAGAACGTAAAAAACCCTCAGAATACTCTTGTTCTCTTGCAGCTCCATTGGTTATTTTCTTGGACGCCATTGTGGAAGATTTCATCTTATTTCCTCATTTCAATTCTAATAGGTTCAATACTTTCCATTTTGGATTTCATCATCTCATTCTTTCTTTCTCTATCCATGAATTCAGAAACAAGAATCCAGATGTTGGAAAAGATTCGTCTTGAATCCCATTCATGAATGACCCAGAAGAGAACAAATTTATTCTTGTGAAAAAGGTAAATAAATAATCAAGCGTTGAATGCAAATTTCTTTCTTTTTCAAGAGATTCATTTTCCAGATAAAGATCTACAGTATATATTCCAAAAATAGCAGGATAAAAATCTAAAATTGACAGATATTTTACTATAAACAAACAAGATGTCATCTCTCACCATGTAGCTTGGTCAGTTTCTGCTGTGCTCAAAACCTCCAGATTCTTGGTGCGGATCATTTAAAGGGCTGGCAGCTTTAGCCGCTGTCTCAATAATGTTCTGATCCCCGCATTGCTCTTCAGCTGTAGGTTGACTCGCACTTTCTATAACCAATGAACAATCAGTCTTACTATCATTGGCATTTTCACACTCTTCAACGAGGTTTGCTTTGGCATATACTTGATCACCTTTAACCATTATTTTCTTATTCGAAAGTCCTGTAACAGCCTCAAGATTCAACTCGGATTTCAGATTTGGCTTGACTTCTCTATGATCTTTAACTCCCTCACCTTGTCCATTTTTTGAAACACATGCTCTATTTTCCCACACCTGCTCTTTAGGCGAACTTTCTGACACGGAAATCTCTATTGCTGCCTCCAGCTCTTCCTTCAGAGGACCTTCAATGGTTGGACCAGATGTAACAGCATTTAATTGCTGAATTGGTGCATTTAATGGTGAGGAAGAAACAGATGAAGTATGCTCAACTCTTTGTGTTGCAAGTTTTACTGAACCAGGATGCGAGGTAGATGTAACAGGAGAGGAGTGTGGTTCAGCTGTTAAACCAGTACAAACATATTGGGAAGAGGTTCCACTTGGAATGAGAGGTTTAATTGAAGAGCCACCTGAAGTCATAATATGAATAGCATTTTTGGACTGAGCAGCCTTCAGCAGCGATGCAGCAGCCTTTGGGCTACCAATGCGGGCCCCAGCAGCAACTGCAGTGGCATCTAGGATCAAACCTGTGGTGGAAAAAGGTTTTGCCGGGACTCTCTTCAAGGTAACCCGAGACTTTACAGTAGAACCAGATGATGAGGATTGTGTAGTCATGAGACCTTGTTGAGACTGATTTGGGACTTGGACTGAAGCAACAGGATCTTGCTGGGATGGACTTTGGGTGGGCACAGAAGTATTCGGGCCATATTGAGGCCGATTATGGGATGAGACAGAAGTTTGAGACTGATTTTGGGTTTCAACAGAACCAAGGAGGCCATGTTGGAACTGGTTTTCGGTTCGAACTGAAGCTTGGCCGCTAGCAGTTGGAGGCGCAGAGCAGGATGCAGTCTTCAAACCTGGTCCAGTAGCCAAGAAGTCAGTCTATTAGAAAGAAAATAAGAGATCTCACATTTTCAAAAAAGGAAGCCAGTGGTAGAAAAGAAGGTTCCCACCAACTTTATCACTTCATAAGTTTGGCTCACTTACTAAAAAGAATGTTGCCGCATCAAACACTTCAAAGAACTTAAAAATAATACTAGATGAAGAAAATTACCAGGGTTATTTGAACAAGCACCTGTTAAATTTTTATCTGGCATAGGAAGGGCTAAGGACAAAGCATTACGAGTTGCCAACTGTGCCTCAGAAATCACTGAGTTTCCTTCCACATTTAAGTTGCCCAATCGCTTCTTAATAACACTCCACCTCTGCAAATATTAGAACAAACTTGCCACGGTTAGCTTGTGGAAAAGCAGACAAAAAACCATTCTGGTGGGGAGCCTTAATCTGCACGACCAACTTATAGCCATCTTATAAGATTCACAGAACTGATCAATTTTTTTTATTTTTCTTAAAAAGATACAGAATTGAGAAAATTCCGTTGCCGGGATTTGAACCCGGGAAAAGCTGGGCAAACCCAGACATCATGACCAGATTAGATTAACAACGGATTGTTGTTCTAAAGTAGCAACTAGATGATATTCATCAAAGAAGTTGATTATTTGAGATATAGAAACAGAAACACCAAAAATATATTTGTGCTGTCATTTTCACCATGTCCAGAATATGTTTTTAGTAACAAAATATACAGGTCGTTCACCATCCAGGGTAGGGGTGTAAACAAGCCGAGTCGAGCTCGACTCGAACTCGAAAACTTTCAAAGCCAGCTCGACTCAACTCGAAAACTCGCAAGCTTAAAATTATCAAGCTCGACTCGAACTCGAAATGTAATATTGAAACTCGACTCGAACTCGAAAAGGCTCGAACTAAAAAAAAAATTAAGAGCTCGATTAAAGCTGAGCTCGATTGAAGCTCGATTAAAGCTCGATTCTGAGCTCGATTGAAGCTCGATTCTGAGCTCGATTCAAGCTCGATTCTGAGCTCGTTTCAAGCTCGATTCTGAGCTCGACATTGCTCCAAGCACAAAGTTGCTTAAACTAATACTCCCCCATCTTCCTTTATATAAGTTACCAACCCCGAGCTGCTTGTTTGCTACTGATGTGGGATTGCATAACGTTCCTCCACTTTATTTCTTCCTCCACTTTTCTCCATTTTTCTTCTCGGCGTAGATCTTAATCCAGTCAACTTCATCTTTAACAGGTAATCCCAATATATCTTCCAGTATCAAATCCGGCTTTGTAAGCCGATCATCGCTTTCCAAAACCGACTTACCCTTACACTTTTCCACGTCAAAGCAAGTTAATTTTGCCTTCAGCACAGGTTTCAGGAACTTCATGTATAACTGGAACTTCAAAATTATCATGAACAACCAGAGGAGATACCAAAACTTGAAATGGGCAATTCTGTTGAATTTTCATGAGATTTTATTTTATGATATTCATTCATTGAGCTATGATTTAGGGACACTGATTCAACCTTACCATTTGAAATTTTCTTTAGAACAACTTCTTTACAATCTGCAATCTGTTTCACCTTTTCATCCAACAATCTGATCTGTTCCAAGTAAGAATTGAATTCACCAGCTGCTGAATTTACAGAGCTTCCCCTCGGACCCAAGCCCTAAGCGCGAACTACCGTATCAGAATTTCCGGCATCCGTGCTCGAACACAAATCCTGCACCGGTGCTGGATTGTTTTCTCCATCATTATTAGTACCATTCTTTGAAGAGAAATCTACTGGTAGACTTGCAGGCAAAGAAGTGAGTCGTCTAACAGTAGATTTAATACCCTTTTCTCCATTGAATGCATCATTGCTTTCTGCAAGTGGATTCGAAGTAAACTATTTTCCGAAATCATTCAAATCATCACAGTCACACCCCAAGCTTAGAAGCGTATACCTATAAGCCTGAAGTTGGAAGGAAGAGAACTCCATTTCTTTCTGATATATAAGTTCTTCGAGAATTGCTAGAGATTCCTCAGCATGACCAATCTTTTCTTCAGCCAATCTCTTGTATTGAATTGCTTCCATCTTCATTGGCGCCTTCTCGCTTTGCAGCCGCAGGATCATCGAGCTCAGAATATAGCTTCTGAAGAAGTTGCCGTTGAGAGAGAAGCGTTTCCTTTAGAACTGTAACATCCGTTTCTTGTATTGGCAAAGTTGTAGAGCTTCCAGCCATGGCGGATTAGTACAACTCAGACACAATTGTTTTTTTCTCCCAAATATTAAGCGGCCAGGAAATTATGATTGCTCCTTCACATATTATTCTGAAGGGCATGGAAAATACTCGGGAATAATCAAACACAAAACAATATAGTATTTATTTTTCTTAGGAAAACATTTATGTCCATAAAACACCATAATCAAGAACTTCACTGTGTCAAATTTATAAATATTACCATATTTAGTAATTTTTGTTGAATTATTTAAATTGTCTCGTGAAACGTTTTTTATAGTGTCACGCTTATAAAAGGGTTGTGAATTAATAATACTATTATCATTAATTTATTGAGTGGTCATTAGTTATAAAATGGAGTATTGTTATATTTAAAAGTTTTGGGTTCAAACAGTTATATAAGTCTTTTTGTTAACTATTTCCTTCTTTCTTTCAGCTATTCCAGAAAATAATAAAATTAGAAATGAAATTTGAGCCAATGTGTCAGACACGACTCACGAGTACTCAAGAAAAATAAAAAGTCGAAGCAACATAGATTCAACTATCATGTTGATCTCGACAAAAAAGTAAGAATATGGACACACGTAGGTTTCAACAAAGTACCAACTGCCAATCAAGCAGGCAAACACCAATTATCACAATTCCCATCACCCAAAATCCAATAAGGAAATATGATTAGTCAAAATAGTCAACCAGAAAAACAGCTGAAATGTTCATTCTTCAATTTGAGAGTTTAGGGTTTATGGTTTAAGGTTTATAGTTTATGCTTTAGGGTTTATAGTTGAGGGTTTATGGATTAGGGTTTAGGGTTTTATTTTTCTTTTAGTAATATACAATGTAACAATTGAACTTGGGCTGGTTAATTTAAAAAATTAAAATTTGAGGTAGTTGTATTATAGAATTTTTAATATATTTTTAAAATTTTATAATTATAAATAGTGTATTTTTAATATATTTTTAATAATGTAATTTTAAAAAATCTAAAATTATAATATTACATTTTTTCGAGCTGCTCACGAGCTTTTCGAGTTGAATATCGAGTAGCTCGTTAAGAACTCGAGTCCAGTCCAATCGATCCGAGTATTTATCGAGCCTTGATCGAGTCGATCTCGAGTAGCTCGCGATCTGTCTCGTCTCATTTACAGCCCTAATCCAAGGGCAAGAGCTATTCCATGATATTCTAAATTCAAAGGTTTCAAAACATCCCCTAGAACCGTTTATCTTTGGCCCAGATCTAGAGCTACCCTCAATGGTTAGTGTAGCCATAAATCTATATTTGTATTCAATGAAATCTTTTGACTTTGTATATCATTCAATTGTAAATGAATGATCTTATCATAGTGACACTGATAAAATTTCAAATAGAAAAACATATAATGGCAAGAAAAACAAACTTCTAACACAATAAATAAACACAAATTCTAATTTAGAATTTAGAATCATAATTTTACTAGTTCCAAAATAAGTCATCAAGATCTAATATTAGAAATTTAGAATCATAATTTTTTTAGCAAATATTAAACAGAGGAAAATCTCCAATTAGCCCACAAATTCTAATTTTACATAAGTTTTCATTGAAACGACATACATATAAATGGTTCTACATATCATTATTATTCCAAGAACCAATACACATGTTTTTCTTAGATCAACAAAAAATTGATCGAGAGGAGAAAGCGTCATAAGAAATTTAAGAGGATAAAAATATGTATATATATTATTTAAGAGGATAAAAATATGTATATATATTGTTCTATATATCATTAATACTCCAAGAACCAACACCGCCACACAAGCATTCACAAATAATATAAGGTGATCTGAAAGCATTATACCAAACCTAAGAGAGCAGAAAATAAGAGCAATTACGTTTTTTTCTATCACATAATCAATACATACTAATGAAATCAACCAAATACAACTTTCACATCCTAAGCAAATCCAATATAGCATGGAAAGACAGAAGTGTTAGATGAATCTACTACTTTCACATTTACTAGACATTTTAATTTAAGTTTATTAATTCCCAGCTCCACAAAGCAACACATATATACCCAGGCTTTGCTATACTAATTTTACAAACAATGAATTGAATTTCAGCTGTACAGAAAAGGAATGGTGCATTTGAGTCTATATATTGCATAAATAGCAGGATTGATATGATATTGAAGGAAACAGATAAATAAAAATGACAGAGCTGGTGCAAACCTGAGCCAGCTGGTTAGCACTCCTATCTCCCTTGAAGTCTCTTCGTAAGATATTTGCCCAATTCCCAGTACCACATTTCTGCACAGCAGCAATAAGCTCCAAATCCTCTTCTTCTGACCAAGGTTTTCTTTTCCTGCGATTTGGCAGGTTTGCACCAGCTGGTCCATTTCCTTCCAATGTTTCAGTCGATGGCACTGCAGGCAGAATCTTTTTTTGAACAGAAACTGGAACAGTAATGTTCATCCCTAGCTTTGAGCAAGTGGGCTGCAAATTTTCTGAAGACACTCTAGATGACCTCACATTAGGTATATTTATTGTTAATGGAGCATTTACCATCGAGCTTTTTGCACCGCTCGAGTCATTTGGCAAACCAGAAGCAATCAGTACCTGACAAGAATAAAAATCTGAATTAACTCAATTGGAAAAGAAATGGGCAACAAGATAAATGAGTTTGGAAACTTGAAGAGAAGGTAGTCAGACAACCAATATTGTCATTGGTTAGATTTCCACAAGGCTATAGTTATCCATTTCATTGAGATTGCAAGTTACTCATTGACCAGATAAGGTCAAAAACTATCTTCTACCAATAATGCTTCATAGACAGACTTGCATACATTTTAATATATCAACAATTAGAGTCAGAACATAACTATGTAGACCAGAGATACTAACAACCACATATAATTTTATGGCAATCACATATAATTTTCTTACCTTCACACATGCTGCAGCCTCTGCTGAAGTTTCACTACTAACAGAAGGGTAAGGTTCCAATTCATATTCTAAGTCACTATCATCGTCCTGGAAAAAAAAAGTTATATGACCAGACTAGAGCTATAAAAAAATACCAAGAACACTTGACTTTCAAGTTTCAAACAAAAAGACTCATTTATAAATTAACAACCACCACTTTAACCCTTTGACCAGTGACCAAACATGATTAAAATTTCCCAATTTCAAAGTCAAACCAAGACTGTAGCAGATTAGCAGGCTAGAAGTTAGAAAGTAGAATATCTGGAAGCGCATACACCCTTAATTAAGGAAAAATATTCTAATGGACAGGAAAATTTCACATCGTATTGGAACACCATATTAATTTCAAGGATGTGTTTACTTTTAACAGAAATTCCCAAAATAAATTTCATCACACATCAAATAGGGAAGTAGCTAAAGAATTTCAAATCTTTTAGATTAAACATAGATACATGCCATAAAAAAACAAAAAAAAAAAAGAAAACTGACCAAGGGTTCAGCCTCATCCTCCAATTTTTCAAGCAAATTGTCCCGGTAGGCTAAATGGCGCCATAACATCTGGTATTCCCTCGCATTAGAAATGCCAGTAGAAGTCTTATTGACTAAAGCATTCCAGTCCAACTTTGCATCAGGGAATTGCGCCACTTCTTGCAACAGTGCCAAAACAGTAGTTGCTGGATACCTGCCCATACCAATAAAAAGAAACATGTATAGTTGGCAATTAAAAAAGAAGCCCAAGATGGAAAATAATGAACTTAAGATGAAATTAACCTTTGTAAAAGAGTAGAGATATCTTCCTCACTGATTGAACCCTTCTTCTGTTTCTTGGTATTGATATTTTCAATCATAGTTGTTGGTCGATGGAAAATTGCATGGTAATGAAATTAGGGGTTTTGGAATCGGTGAAACCCTAGGAAGGGTTTAAGATAAACACAAGGAAACGAAAAGCGCCTAAAACCCTTTGAATGGAGAGAGAGAGAGAGAGAGAGAGAGAGAGAGAGAGGTGAAGGAAAGGAGAAGCGTGTGGAGAAGTGATTGAAGGGAGGGGGTGGACCGTTGAAGAGCGTGGATAGAACGCGCCTAACAATGTTCTTGTGGAGAAAGAAACGGAAATCTCTTCGGAATATGGATCTTTGTTCTCTAATTCTCTCAATCTTATTTATGTTTGAATTTATCTTTCAAGCTTAGTTTGAATTTATCTTTCAGGCTTAATTTAAATTAATATTCAAAACCTCTAATTTAAATAAGCACGAACCAAAAACAGAAAGCGGTGAGGCGAGAGGTGATTGGGATTTGGGTATAATACCATTAATGCCCTTCCTGATTTATATATTAGACCTGCCAAGTACCTCTATTATGAATATTAGTTCAAGTTAGTCCATCCACTGCTCAATTGAACAATTTAGTCGGTAAGGAATAAAAGCCAAATTCAACATAATTAACGTTCTCCGTTTATAAAAGCTTTAGTGATTGTTTTGTCTTGAAACAAATTTAAATAAATAATATTAATTTTACTTTAATTATATTAATTATTTGGTTTTTTTATTTAGTTTTGCTGCGAAACTATGACCATCCCAAATAACCTACAAACAGAAAGCATTATGACCACGGCCATGACCGTCCCAATTTTGGATGAAGGGGGAAGTCTAAGCACAAACTTTGCTTCTATTCCTAGTATTATTTGAGATTACAGAAGAAAAGGAAAGGTTGTTTAACATCCACAACCGACTCCTACCGCCGGATGAAACTGGGTTTTGTCTCGACCACCACACGATCTACCAGCTGCTTTTACTCCGGACGGGTAGAGATGAAGCAGTTAAAGACGCTAGAGCTAGAAAATACGAACCTAACCCACCACCATATTTGGCATGGATGTTTCAAAGAACCGTATGGGGCCATCATCACCAGACGTCTCGAAGGTATCGTCCTTCCACCTGGAGTTTCTTCACCATAGACTCAGTCTTTGATGAGTCCACGTTCGCCTGAAATTCGTAGACAAGTTTCGAGATTAATGTTCCTACTAATCAAGAATCGGTGATGGTGAAACTCAAATTATTATCATTACAAGCGTACCTGGAAAACTTTAAACTATGTTCATCTGAACAGAGAACGAATAAAATAGAAAACAGATGATGAACAATACCTGTTCCTGAACAATGGTGTGCAGGGCACGATGAACATCTCTTGCCATACCCTTGGCATCGCCACATACATACAGATATCCTCCCTTGGAAATTAGGCTCCATATATAGGCTGCCTGTACTCCAGAAACAACAGATTTAACATAATGCTCCATTTTTATATCATTAACTGCAATATCTGTTGTTTCCTACTACTAAGACATACTTTCTCCATCATCTTATGTTGAACATACTCCTTTTCTTTGCCTTCTCTCGAGAATGCGACGCTGAGCTCAGATAGAGCACCTTGTTCCACAAAGTCGTTGAGCTCATCCTCGTAAATGAAATCCTAAAAATGTTGCAGGAAAAGTAAATAAATAAAATCCTCCTAAAGAATATCAACATTGGTAGAAAATTACAACGAGGCATGCTAATAATGCTGCTAGAATATCATTATTATCAGAATCAGATCCGAACCATTTGTCGATTCCTACATCCAAAAAAGAGTAGAGCTGGACCAAGTTCTGCACTATCTTTCTTAAGGACCACTCTTTCCTGTAAATAAAGATAGCTTAAGTTATTTTCTTCATTCCCCTTTTCTTTCAAAATAAAAGAAAATGTAAGACGGAGTAATCAACCTGTAGAAAACCTCGGAAAGGTGCAAATCCAGTCCCAGGTCCAACCATGATAACTGGAATTGAAGGATCTGCTGGGAGCTTAAAATTAGACTGCCTGATAAAAATGGGAGCCCAGCTACAATCAGTGTTTTTCTCCAGAGGAACAGCATTCTGAACATTTTCAATGCAGTTAGATGTTAGATGTCATAGAATCCGAGTAATGTCTGCCGGGTACATGAACACCGGGGTATATAAGAAAGAAAGTACAAAAAACAGAAGAGCAACAGGAGCAACACAAGAGAGATACAGTCGTTACCTTCATCCAGGTTGAACACACGCCGCAATGAATTCTTCCGGTTGGAGTTGGACGATGAACTAAAGCACAGGTTACTTGAATTCTATCGGGTGCAAACCTGCTCAAAGGGACTAATCTTATTAACCCGAAGTATAACATAGCATTGATATGTAGATAGAACAAATTCAATCACCTAGGGGAGGATGAGATAGAATAATAGCGAGGCTGTAAATGAGGGGCTATAGCAGCAAAAAATACACCAAGCGGAGGTTTTGCTGACGGGAACTCAGCCATAACCTCGAGAAGGCTTCTGTGACTTCCAACAATCCATTGTGTGTACTCATCCTGGGCAAAAGGAAGAAAAACACATAATCAATAGGAAAAATAATAACAAACACGAACAAATGAGACCGAGAGAAAGAAAAAGCAACACTAAGTATCCCATCAACCTTCCCTTGCGGTGACGATAAGAACTTGAGCCTTTCTACTTCACTGGGTTCGGTGGCATGAGCAGACAAGGCAACCAAAGCAGCCTGCCAAAGAAAAACAGTTTGGATACAAAGAAAAATGTTAATTAAGCAACAAAAGGGACTAAATGATCAGGCAGAATTTCTAGAAATTTTATTGGCTTTTTTTTTGGGGGGGGGGGGTGTTTTACCTTTCGTGGAGGGTTTAAGAGATCTGCATAGCGAGCCAATGCTGTTCGAAGTGTACATGGACTGTTGAAAGGTGGTGGCAATGAGCTTCCACGGTATGTGCCATCCTCGTTGTCAGTATGTATAGAAAACAGCAAATCCAGTGGTTGATCCAACAATTTTGCTGCTTCCTTGACAGTCTCAGTGCTATTCTCAGCAAAAACACCAACATGATCTCCAGTTTCATATCTGTAACAGTTCCACTTATTAATTGCAATTGTAAAAGATCATAAATCAGAAAACGATGTTATCTTTCTTTTTAAAACCAAAATCTGTGATGTCAAAAGCACTTAAAACACAGCAAAAATATTAATACTGCTTTCACAGAGAATTACAGGAAATCAATTTTATATAGTAGCAAACATTTGAAAGCTTTGAACCTACGTTATACCAGTCCCAGATATGTCAAACTCCAGATGTACGCAAGAACGATCAGATTCAGGCTTGTGGAGCTCTTTCTGAACGGCAACATTAACTCTGCGTGCAAATCATTTAATGGTGATCTCAAGATGGAAAATAAAAGTGGGATGGGGAGAGAAAACCAAGACAACACACACCCCTCGTTACCTGCATGGATGGTGGATGTCATGTGAAGATTTCCCATTTGCAATATTTGTGTGATTATCCTCGATGTGAATCACAGAAGGATCATGAATCACTACTCTATACTCGGGAATAGCAGCTGTATATGAGGTAGACACAGTCTTTTCATCTTCTTCACCTCTAAGAAGTTGATCTAACTCTGGCCATAGCAATTCTCTCCTAAGGAAGGAACAAAACAAATGAAAAAGATGTACAGTAAAGCTAGCAGAGCACAGCATTGAAGTATTGTCCCCAAGAAAAGCTCAAGTCACCAAGGTAATATATTATGATGCTTCAGCTTCAAAAAATGAAGAAAAAGAATTTCGGGTAAGACTGAAAGAGGATTACATACCATGCAGTGAAATCATCTTCAATACATTTATCATCATCACCAAGACCAACTTCGATAAGACTTTTGGCACCTTTTTCACAAAAAAAAAAGTCATACACTTAGTAGAATCTCATCAAGATTAGAAGGGTGAAATCTCAAAAAAAGTAATATAAAAAAATTACCTTCTTCAGAAAGTTTCTCATCAAGAACCTTTGCTATCTATTTTGGAAAAAACGGAAAAAAGAAACCATAAAATCAGATACCACTATTGCAAGAGAAAGTGATTCTGTGGGCGAGTTCCAAACATATGTGCCAATGTTACCTTATTAAAATGTTCATATTGGCGGTTACCAAGACCAAAAATGCCATATGTGAGTTGTTGAAGCCAGGGCTCCCTTCCATTCCCCTACAATTTGAACAAAACAACGAAATAGTGAGTGTTAATTAACAAAAAAAGATGAATGATGCATAAACAAAGTCTAAATTTGACTGTTCTTTCAAGGCACCAACCTCGGTAAGCCATTTGTAAAATCTAGCAGAGTTGTCGGTCGGCTCCCCGTCCCCGTAACTACAAAGTCAGGCTCAATTATATTAAATACCCCATACTTTATATAACGCTGAACAAATACACAACCAAGTATAGCATCAGTAGAAGTGAGAATATGTCTTACGTGGCCACCATGAAAAAAGCCAGGGTCTCCTTTTTAAGCTTCTCTACATATTGGTCATCAGTAGCAGCATAATCATCCTAGTACAAAACATACAAAGTTTGATGAATGTAATTGTAAAACACTAGAAGAAAAAGAAAACCTGAAGTAAGAAAACAAGGTAACAAGCAATTCTGTGTACATACCAGGTCAACAACCTTGACTGCTGCCTTCTCATATCTTGCCCTGATCTCATCACCTAAACCCTGCAACAGGTAATCCTCACATCAACACGTGAACTTTAAATAAAAAAGACATCTTTTCCGATCATGCAGCGCCATGTTCCAAGCACACATCGACTTCGGTCAAGTGTAACGGCAAAAAAGTTCCCCATGTAGCTAAATCATCCGCTATTGACGACAAAACAATTAATAGAAAAAGATTTGCTAACGAGAACGATCGTGCCACGTTTCAATCTATATTTACGTCCGGATATCTTTGAGCTCGGGATGACGAAAGGTACGGACATAAAAGCGTATCGAATCAACAATGCAACTAAATCTCCAACGAATAAACGATTTATTACAACTAAACTTATAGCCAAATTATTCGAATATTCGAAAACAGTTGAAAAGTACAGTGAACTTCAAATAGTCTGATACCCTAAAATTTTCATGAAGTGTGACTTAAAAGAAAAAAGAACAGTCCCTTCATCTCCTTGCAACTTCTTAATCTTGATCTGTATCATATAATTATTATACCAGTAACACAACTTTCCATTGGCTGCAAAAACAAGCTTGATTAGTAAAGTTCACATCAATTTTCTTCCAAATTCCATCAGTAAAAAAGGTTTCATTTCCGTCAACAAGTGAAACATTCAAGTCATACATTTTCAAGATAACAACAATCAAATCATCATACTAAGCAATCAAAACCGGAACATCAAAGTTTCTTCTTCTTTTACCTTCGCAAATCCCTCAGCGGTTCCCGTCTGGGTGCCGTAGAAAATGGTGACCTTCGTTTTACCGGCGGCGACGCTGGCTTCATCGTCATCTTCATCAGAATCGAGTGAAACAGGGTTAGGAGCAGCCAGAGGCTCAACACCACGGCTTCGTTCAGTGGCTGATTTTATCCAGAGGAAAATCAAGAGCCCCAGAACCACCGCCAACGACGTGGTTGCCAACATTATCATGGAATTCGTTACCGAACCGCCTAACGATACTCCCAATACAGTCTCAACAAAACTCACCAAATCCGAGCTCGAACTCATCTTTCAACCCCCAAAAACACAGCAAAGGTAAAGGCAATTCAAAATGAGAATTCTAGCGAAAGAGCAAAAGAAGCTTTGGGGTTGATCGGAGCTACAGAAGCTTCAGTTTAAATAGTGAGAGACGCGGTCCCAAAGAGACATGCCTGACCAGAACTTTAGAGTGAACTTTTTATTTTATTTTTTTATTTACTTTTCCCTATTAACTGAAAACAGGCGTTACGAGTAAGGAAAAAAATACACCCGGGAATCCGGTTTCTCTCGATTTTCCATGTTCGAATTCAATGACACTACTCGTTGACGACAAAGCCGGGAGAAAAGAGAACTAAATAAAAACGGTATACCACATGTTTAGCACCCCAACTATCACTTTTGTTCTGTTTTAGTCACCCAACTATTTTTTATTTCAAAAAATATACTTGATGTTTAGTTTTGGTTTCATTTTGGTCACTCTTCATTAAAACATTAACGATGATACTAATGTGTCACCATAAGATAATAAAACATCGGTAGTTTTATTAATTTTTCAATGGAAAATGACCAAAATAAAATTAAAGCTAAATATTAAATATGATTTTGAAACAAAAAATAATTGAATGATCAAAATAAAAAAATTATAGTAGGGACACTAAACTTGTAGTTTACTCAAATTAAAATGTGACTTTCCATTTTGGTACCTGGATTTATTAAATTTATCCCTTCTTTTATTTTCTACTTCATTTTCCTTTTTTATTTTATTTGCTTAACTTAATTTTTCGTTGTCTAACAACATATTTTAAAAATATACCAAAAAACATATATAACATAAAAGATATAACATAAACCAAGTGGCTTCTGATAAAAGAATTGTTGTTATTCAATGAGGATTCGGGTTCAAGCACCATAAATGTTAAGGGTGTGAGTGTTCAATGTCGAAAGGTTAAAAATTTATCTTTGAATAGATATTGTCTTATTCTTACCCCATATTAATAAAAAAAATTAAAAATATAATACAAATATAACACCAATTATACCGAATTAAAAATATAATACAAATATAACACCAATTATACCGAATCAAATAATTTTACGGGAATAATATTATAGTGATATACATAACATTTATCATTAAAAATAATCAATTATGCTCGTAAAATTATTTATATTCATTTTTAAATTTAATTGGTACAGACAATCATATATAAAATAATATTAATTGAACTTAAAATTTAAATCCAACATTTACAAAACCGAAAATCAATCTTATTCGTGTACATATATAAAAATGATAACTACACGATACAGACACAGATAAACCACGCATTACAATAACAAATCACCTCTTTCTTCAAATTAAATATGATTTTTTATAATTACGTTGCCTTAATTAATTGGAAATATTCCAGTCATTTTCCAGTATGCTCTTCAGCTTTTCAATTTGATCCTCGGGCAGGGTCATGGTCACGATCTTCCCATTGCCACCGTCTTTTTCATTGCTAGGAACAATCAGACACGTTCCTTCATCCCCAACTCCATTTATCATATAATTCACAAACACTGGCTTCAGTCCCTTAAGTTGTAATCCATAAAGATCTGCACCTTCCAAGTTTACAAATGTCAAATTCGCTCCGTAAACTATGAAATCCGATTTTTCTTCATCCCCCGATAGCAAATCTTCGATCAAACCGTTCTCGGGCACCTTTCTATCGGCAATAAGCTTTGCTAATTCGGCTATTTCAACTTTCGAAACACAGAAGTCAGCTTTGACTGTGCTCAATGTCATACCATTAACCGGTTGTGCCGCCAATTCATCACCTCGAACGAGACGGTTGTTCGAACAGATCGTAACGGTCTTTGGACCCAAATCGATTCTAACTTTAGACATCGATTGCCATATTATAGCCGAAATGATTTCGAAATCGGAGATCTTATCGGTGATGTTTAGGTCATGAATAGAGTTTGTTGTCATGTAATGATGAAGTTGTTTTCCAGTGATGTGAAAAGAGTGAGTTACCGTTCTAGAGTCATTGGCGGTTATCCAACGGTCACCAACTGGGTCAACTTTTTTCAAGGAAAATGGTTTCCCAGAAACAAAAGCGGGAAATTCGGATTTCAGGACACGATCGTTCACCTTTGATGAAAGTTGTTCCTCCGCCATGATTTGTGCCCATGCATTGAGGAATTCCGAGGCTGAAAATGCATCCCCTAATACATGAGCCCAGCTGAGCCCTACCGATATGCCCCCACATTCGAACCATGTGAACTGAAAAAGAGAGGTTATTTTAGAAGGATCATTTGCATAATTTCAATATCTAGTTGGACCTAAATGGTATTTTACCTCTTTCAATTCAATGTATTATTTTTTTTATTAAATTTCTAAATACTCTCTAAAGGAAAAGGTATTTACTGCTAAAGGTATTTTTTCCATGACAACTCACAAGGAATCTGCATTTATAGTTTTGACCTCAGCATCATTTAAGACATCCCTCTGGACAGATTTCCCAAAGCGCGTTACAGTTTACAAACCTCATTACATTACCATTAATAATGGCTGATTCTTCTCGATTTTCTTTCTAAAGTTATTCTTAGTTTAAATTAATTATATTTGAATGCATTCTTAATGAGTTAAGCAGCTCAAACTCAATACGGTAAAAGCTCGGCTTAATACCTTAACAAACTATGTCCAACAAAATCCAACTCGACTCTATAAGTTTACGAGCAATTCGCTAGTATTTTTTATAACTTTTCAATGGTTATCTTAAAAAATTATTTCATTCAAAAAATTACTAATTTACTAATAGATAATGAAGAAGATAATAAATCACTAATCCATTAATTTTCTAATAAATAATTAAAAGTAATAAATTATTAATTAATAATTATTATTTTAGTACACCCAAAAATCAAACCCTAATTGTTATTTTAATTTATTTTTTAGTTAAATTTATTAATTTATGTTTATATTAAGTTGTATATAGTAATAGTAGATTTTATTTATAATTAAAAAAATAAAATGAAAATTCAGTGAGCTTAATGAGCAGTGATTCGAGTAACAAGCTTTCTTAATGAGCTTAAGCAAAATTTTAACGAGCAATGAGTCAAATAACGAATTTTCTTAATGAGCACGAGTCAAGTCGAGTCAAGCATCAAAACTTTTTAACAATCACGAGTCGATAGTCGAGCACTACCTAACTCGCATTCAACTCGCTCAATAAGCTCCCCTACATTCAAACTTAATCTCTTAAATATATTAATAATATCACTAATCGAATTATTTTCAATTAATGTTAAAAAAATATTATTAGGCATTTAAAATAAGACGTTGGTTTAATAAAATGGCATTTAGAATATAAAGTACTATTGGTCTAAATATTCAAACATTGTTCATGAACTAATTCGCATTATTTCTACTTCATATTTTGAAGGCAAGGCCATAAACAGTGAATAAAAATGAAAAATATTTGTTAGGTGTTCGTAAGTTCTTTCATTATCATATTAGTCCAAATTCTTAAAATTATAATCCAGAGTTTTATTTAAATAAAATGTTTTGATTTATTCTTAAAGTATTTTTGTTTCTATAATTTTTTATAAATTCTAAATTTAATTTTAGTCTTTTTTAGAGGGAGAAGAGAAATTCTAAGAGAATGAATGAGAGCACTCGTAGTGAGTTTAACATTCATAATTGAAGGGAATATGAAAGAATGAAGATGAATAACATGATCAACTAACCAAATATATTTATTCTATAATTTTTAAATTATTGAAACAATAATGATATCAATAATTTTTTTAATAGACTTAATACACTTTTAGGTACTTAAATTATACCTCAAATTGTTAAAAATATGTTCCTAATATTTTCTCAGTTACACTTGTGCAAACTATTTTTTTTTTGTATTTTTAAGGCTTAATACACTTTAAGATTCATAATATATAGGGCTGTAAATGAGACGAGACAGATCGTGAGCTATTCGAGATCGACTCGATCAAGGCTCGATAAAATACTCGGATCGAATGGACTCGACTCGAGCTTGAGCTCGACTCGAGTTCTTAACGAGCTGAAACGAGCTAATCGATATTCGACTTGAAAAGCTCGTGAGCAGCTCAAAAATATAATATATTAAGATTTTATTTAAAAAAAATAAATTAATATTAATATTAATATTTATGTATTGATATTTTTTTAAAAAATATAGTAAGATTTCATGTATTTAAGGTTCATGTTCGAGTTCGAGTTTGAGGCTTTAATCGAGTTAATTTTAAGAATTTTTTTTTTCATTTCGAACCTTTTCGAGCTGCTCACGAGCTTCAGTTCAGGATTTCGAGTTTGAGTCGAGCTTTAAAATTTTAAGCTCGCGAGTTTTCGAGTCGAGTCGAGCTCAATTTCAGAGTTTTCGAGTCGAGTCGAGTTCAGCAATACTCGAGCTCGACTCGGCTCATTTACACCCTAGTAATATATACCTCAAATTGACTTTTAGTGACTAAATATTTTTTTTTGGCTAAAAATATGTGTCTAACATTCCCACGTTATAGTTATTGTGGTCGTCGCCGTTGACACCATCAAAATCGTCTCGCAATCACAGTCAAAACTGTCCCCAACCACCATGAAACTATTTCGATCGTCTTGAAAAGTGTTTCGAAGGGTCGTCAATTTTTTAAGTATTCCTTAATTGTTTTTCAATGATTCCAACGTCTATAGCTGGCCATACATTACACAACCGCTAACATTGAGTTTCTCACCCTGCTCCAAACAAAACCTAACCGGTGGTGACCCTTCGTCGTTGAAGGTGGGGTAGGAGGGAGGGGGATGATGAGGGAAGCATTTATTTTTTTATTTTTTAAAATAATATTTTTATTATTAAAAATAAAAAATAAAAAATAATGGTAGACACCTAAAAGTGTAATAGATAAAATGTTAGACACTTATTTTTAACGAAAAATTCTTTAGGCATCAAAAATCAATTTAGGATATAATTTAGGCACTTAAAAAAGTATATTTTTCATATATTTCTTTTAAAACTTTATATGCGTGATACATGTCAGATAACAACCAAATTGAACGATCGTTATGGTCCAAACACCTAAAAGTGTAACGTTCAAAACGTTAGATACTTATTTTTAGCGAAAAATTCTTTAGGTACCAAAAGTCAATTTAAGATATAGTTTAGACACCTAAAAACATATTAAACCTTTTTAATATTATACTTTATGCATACGAGGAAATAAATTAGAAGAAAGAAAAGAAAACTGGTGGAGAAAGCAATCTTAAATGCATGAACCACGAGTACCTGGACAAAAGCCAAAGGCGAGAATCCCAAATCAGGGCCAAGAACTTGATCATAAGCAAGCATATGATCAAGGGAATGATCTTTATCTCTCGCCGTTGCCAGCCATTCATCGACGGTCTGATTGCATCGAGCTTCGATGATTCGGACGCCGCCGTCGTTGCATTTGATAAACGGCCGGCCAGTTTCCGATCTTCGAATCCTCCCGGAGACGGTGTAGTAATGTTCCAGGCACTCAAACATCGGGACTTTCAAATCATGAACGGACAAACCTTGAGCCGCTTCGGATTGGAAGAAATAAACGCCTTTGATATAATGGAGTTTCATTGCTAAATCCATGTTGGTCAGCTCGAAATCCTTGTTCCCGCCAGTTACTTTGGCGGGAACCACCGATGAGAACCGATGGCCCGAAACGGGAATCTCCAAAGAAGCCGGCACCATCGTGGTTGAAATAGAGAGAGAGACCCGGAAAAAGGAAGATATGAGAGTCAGGGTTAAAAGGTTTTTGAATTTGAACTTGTATTTATATTTAGGAAAAACAAAGAGGATGGATGGATAGGGACTGAACAAAGGCAGAAGCAAAGTGGTGGATTTTAATAAGGATTTGCGCGAGGGAAGGTGGAGAAGTTAATATCACAAATTAATGACAACATGTGATGGCATGACCAAAACATTTCCTTGAAAACAGGCATATAATTTCATGCCTTTCAGTTTTCAAGTTTTTTCTTCAAAAAGAAAAGATCAATTAAAATTCTATACATAGACCGACCATCCTGATTATATATATTACAAGGTAAAATATATTAAAAGATTTAATTAATTAATTATGAATGTATATAATATTATAAACACAATTATTTAAATTTTAAATTTTTGAAAAGGACATTACATTATTTTATCCTATTAATGAGTTTCATTTTTTTTTTAAATAACCAGATTTCATTAACTATAGATAGAATAAGAAGTTACAGCAGCAGAGATACATTTAGGAACTACATATTTGAAATAGATAGGAGCAGATGAGATAGTTGCGTAGTTAGCGAGGGCGTGTGCCACACTTTTAGCCTTCCGACGAACAAACCAGATGGAAACCTGTGGATGCTGACGGAGAAGCTCGCGTACTTAAATAGAAAGAAATGAAGAACTGACCAATCAGTATCGTGGTTCTCAATCTAACTGACAACATTCAACGAATCACTCTCTACAATCATTGTTGGTAGTGCCATGTCAACCGTCATTCGAACTCCCTGACTAATTGCAAATGGCTCAACGATGCTTGCCCCTCAATGTTCAGGTATATGAAGTGCTCGGCCTGCCATAACTTGCCCTTCACAATCACGCAAAAAACCCTAATAACCGAGGATGCAGTGGGTTGGGCAAGCACCATCCACATTTATTTTAAAAATGCCAGTCGTGGGCTTCCTCCAGTGATGTGCAGACAAACCAGAGCTGTAAGCAACAGACAAGGAAGCTACCGAGGTGTACGTCGATTGCAAAGCAGTCCCAGAAGCAATAAGTTGCCACATTGGGAGTAGTTGACCTTCATGGAAATGAGATGCCGACGATGCCAAAGTTTCCAAAGCACACCAACAAAGCAATGAAACGGGGAACAATCAACACTTCCATCAAGTGCTCCAACCAAGCACCGAAAGAAGGAAACGTTGTGTGGTACGCAACCGTGGGAAAACATGTAGCATTGAGGATAAGGCTAACCTCGGGACAATCGTGCAGCGCGTAGGAAACTAACTGATATATGCACCAGAGTACATAATGATGACAACACATACTTCTTTGGACTAATGTTTCTATTCGATCCTATTAGAATAAAAAAGTGTCGAAGATTCAAAGCATATATATTCGGTAAGTATAATGTGAGTGAATCATTAAAAGGTTCAATGTTTCTCCCTTTGATATTTTAGATTCGAGGTTGAATCTTTTTGAAGAGAGGGAGGATGATACATGCATCACAAGACTCGCATCAAAGGAAGATGAACTAAAGCTTCCAACTCATCCATACGACCAAGCCTTGGACAAGAAGAACAGCAGACTTGTGATTGCTTTTTGAATGGGATTCTGATGTTAATTGGTCAACATGTCTTCCGAATTTATGGCCGACTGTCTCTTATCTTTCCAACAATTCTTGAATCGCATCAATCCGATATCAAGAACTCAAGATACACTCATTTTAGTGAAGACAACAGATGCATAAATTCCTATACGGGATTAATACGAGATTTTGTAAATATTACAAATTTTCAATATTTTTATCGATTATTTGTAATATAATTTAATATAGGATGATGCATTATCTTTCAGGATTAGATTTATTATTCTATTAGTAATTTAGATAGAGTTAAAACAATTATCTTTAGTTTATTGTTAGTAGGAATTAGGATAGTATTTTATTAATATATTTTCTTATTATCTTCGAGCATTAGTTATGCTAAAACAAGGACTCATTCACCCTATCTATATAAAGAAGGCTCCTCCCACCATTGAAAACACATCTTTTCTTGAATACAATACATTGAGAGTTTATCTTTGCAAGTGTTGATTACTTGTGCATTCGAAGCTTCTTTCCATTAAGTTATTTTCAAGTTCTTTGTGAGAGAGATCTTCACACTCCGGTTTGTCTCTTCATTGCGATTAGGAGGGATGGTTAGAGCATTTATCGAGTTTGCCTTTTCATTGTGACTAGGAGGATTCGATAGGATAATTATCCATCTATTTCCATATTTCACAACTCCATCATCTTCTTTTTTCATTCAAATCATTTCACTTTCTTTATTGAGTCTAGAGCTTTCTAGGCTTGTGTAACACCCTTAACCCATATCCGACCCGAATATGAGTCTGAAGTGTCACATTGACTTTTCAAACTTTGACACTTAAAGAAAAACAGGGAAATTTTAAACTTTCATTAAAACCAAATACATTAATTTACATAAAAGAGACCACAAAATACAAAATCAATCAGAGCATTCGTAATTAACCACTTATTACATGCCAACACTCTATACACAACCAAAATACCTACTTTGTCAATTACTTCTGATCTGATCTTTTAGTAGTGATGTTGTTCTTGCCGCCTCTATTACTGCTCCTCTTGATTCTTGGTACCTACGTGTAAATCACTTACACGCTAAGTCATAGACTTAGTGAGACATAATATATATATATATATATATATATATATATATAACAATGCATTCATGAACATGCATTCTTACCATCTGATCATGACATCTTTATCTGTATGCATCTATTTCACTATAACATATATGATGGTAACATGCACATATAAAACATATATTCTTATGCTAATTCCACTTTAACTTATCTTTGAATTGCCCATGTACATTATGGAGAACAAAGGTATGTGAGTACATAGAGGTTGTGCACTATGTTGTCACCACAGCTCGTATAATTCACTTAAGGGGCACTGAATATTTTTCCCGAAGGACCACTATGTCCCGAGGGACCATTGATTGTTCCGAAGAACCACTATGTCCCGAAGGACCACTGATAATCCCTCGACTCTTGGCATGCCAATTATACCTATAGCTCTCATATTAAATAACATGGACTTAATTATAAATACATTTCTCATTTCATATCTCTTTCATCACTGTCCATGTAAACACATAAGTCACTTTATATGATCATTTTCATTATTTCACATATATGGAAGAATTATCTGATAATGGTATTCATTCATATAATACCATGTTAATCATGAATGAAAAATACATGAAATCACTATAACGTTAACACATATATATGTATACATGTGCATGAATATAAAATCATAAATTCAATGATAAGAGATAGACTTATCGCAAGTCTTGTCTCAATTCCATTTCATCTAGGATATGCACTCACCTTGGCCTTGCTTATTTTGACTTGATCCTAATCCTTTGTTTGTTCCGGAACGAAATTGCGTTCTATATCTACATAGTAATACATTAATACTAATCAGTATACTAATTAATATATTCTAAACTATCACTCCTTAGGCTAAAAAGAAAGTTATTTTCATCTTTTAATGAAGGTATGCATCAATGCACTACACCATGTATCGATGCATCCCTTGACGGGTGCATCGATGCACAATCTATGCATCGGTACATAAATCACATTCAATGTTTGTATTTTAAGGGGGTGCATCGATACACTAATGACATTCGATGTTTTTATTTTAAAGAAGTGCATCGATGCACTTCATGTGCATCGATGCACATTGAACAATTTCTGGGTTTTTACCCTTGATGCATCGATACACATTGAATGTGCATCAATGCACATAGCCCAGAAATGTTATTTTAGCACTAAAATCTCTTCATAATCTTCTCAACACTTTATATTTCCCCTCTTTTTATATCCTTAACTTGCATATACCTACTTAAACTAATTAATACCCATTCAATACCTCTTAAACTTAAAAATCCAATCCTTCACATAGATTTTAAGAATCTCCCTCAATTTCCAACATGTTCTAAATCTAATTTTAATACTTCGTATGTCTTAATTAGGTCGATGAGAAGTCAAATTCAACCTTCGATTTCAAATATGAACTCTTTTTCAAAATTCCATTCAAGAACTTCTTATCTTTAATTCTTCTTACACCCTTCATCTTGTTGTTTTAAAGCAAATTAAGCTTTCCTTAAGCTTAATTAGCATCTAAGGATCAAAACAAAACTTAAATTTCAACAAACAATTAGCTTATGAAAAATCTCACCTTTGCTATAAGTTTTCACGTTTAGGAGAAAAGAAGAGAAGAAGAGAACTCTAGAACCTTGTTTTTCTTTCTTCTCTTCCACGTGGAGCTAATATATAAATCCCTTCTTTAATTATTTTTCCTTACAAAAGACCATTCTATCCTTATATTCTTTCTTCTTTGCGATTAAACCCTATACCAAATTACAATAATATTCAATTATTCTATTTTAGTCATCAAATTCTGAATTTTTACAATTTAGTCACTAACCTGATATTGAGGATGTTACAGTTTGATTCTTCAACAACGAGAAACATTCATTCATCTATTGTAGTATATTTATCAAAATAAACAAAAAAAAGTAGTATATAGAAGTAGAGATTGATCCACATGGACTAAGGAAGTCTGATAAATTTGCTTTTTTATCATTGGGTTTTAACTACAAAAGTAAAAAATAGAAGGATTTAGAAATAATAATAATAAATAATAATAAAATGATGAGAAAGTAAATAAAACAAAGTAGAAGAATTTAATTGAGATGATATAGCCTTAGGCTTTGCTTAAATTCAATTTTGATCAATCATCGAAATAGAATTTTCCTTCGTGATGTATGATGGTTACAATCAGTAGGGTACAACCCCTGCAACTAACTCTTCTCTTTGATTAACCAAAATTTCCAAGTCTATCTTCGAAATTCAGTTTTTATATTTCTAACCACGTTTATCTCTGTTAGATCAAAAACAACTTTAA